TAAAACATGCTACCATCTTAGCCCTCAGTGAGTCATAATCTTTTTGCTGGTGGAGGGTCTTCCTTCAATGTTGATGGCTACTGACTCAGAATGGTAGCTGAAGGTTGGGGTGGGTGTTGCAATTTCTTAAAATAAGACATCATTGAAGTTTGACCTGTTGATTAACTCTTCCTTTCACAAACTATTTCTCTGTAATATATGATGCTGTTTGTTAGAATATTACTCACTGAAGAACTTCTTTCAAAATAGGAGTCAATCCTTTCAAACCCTGATGCTACTTTATCAACTAAGTTTATATAATATTCTAAATCCTTTGTTGTCATTTCAACCACCTTCGTAGCAGCTTTACCAAGAATAGATTCTGTTTCATGAAATCACTTTCTTTTCTCATCCATAAGAAGCAACTCCTCATGCATGAAAATTTTATGAGATTTCACAATTCAGTCACATCTCAGGCTCCACTTCTAATTCTCTTTTGGTGTACTATTTCCACTTTATGGTATACTATTTCCACTACATCTGCAGTTACTTCCTCCACTGAAATCTTGAACCCCTCAAAATCATCTATGAGAATCATTTATGAAGTTGGAATCAACTTCTTCCAAACTCCTGCTGATGTTGATAGTTTGACCTCTTCCCATGAATCATGAATGTTTTTAATGGCACCTAGAATGTTAAATCTTTTCCAGAGATTTTTAATTTACTTTACCTAGGTCCATTGGAGGAATCACTATCTATGGTAGCTATAGCCTTATGAAATGTGTTTTTTTTTTAAATAATAAGACTTGAAGGTCAAAATAACTCCTTGATACATAGGCTTCGAAACGGATGTTGTGTTAGCTATGAAAACAATATTAATCTCTTTGTACATCTCCATTAGAACTCTTGGGTGACCAGGTGCATTGTCAATGAGCAATAATATTTTGAAAGGAATATTTTTTTTTCTGAGCAGTAGGTCTTAACAGTGGGCTTAAAATATTTAGTAAACCATGTTGTAAATAGATGTACTGTCATCCAGGCTTTATGGTTTCATTTATAGAGCATAAGCAAAGTAGATTTAGCATAATCTTTAAGGGCTCTAGGGTTTTCGGAATGGTAAGTCAGCATTGGCTTCAAATTAGAGTCACCAGCTGCATTAGCCCTAACAAAAGAGTCAGCCTGTCCTTTGAAATTTTGAAGCTGGGCATTTACTTCTAGCTATGAAAATCATAGGTGACATCTTCCAGTTTTTTGTCTGCATTGAAAAATCTGTTGTTTAGTGTAGCCACTTTCTATTCATTATCTTAGCTAGATCTTCTGCATAACTTGCTGCAGTTTCTACATCAGCACTTGCTGCTTCCTTTTGTACTTTTATGTTACGGAGACAGCTTCTTAAACCTCACGAACCAACTTCTGCTACCATTGAATTTTTCTTCTGCAGCTTCCTCACCTCTCTCAGCCTTATAAAATTGAAGAGAGCTGGGTCCCTGGTCTGGGTTAGGTTTTGGCTTAAGGGAATGATATAGCTGGCTTGGTCTTCTATCCAGACCACTAGAACTTTCTCCATATCAGCAATAATACTGTTTCACTTTCTTATCATTCATGTGTTCACTGTATTAGCATTTTTAATTTTCTTCACAGACTTTGCCTTTGCATTCACAACTTGACTAACTGGTGTAAGTTGCCTCGCCTTCCGCCTATCTCTACTTTTGACATGGATTACTCACTAAGCTCAGTCATTTCTAGCTTTTGATTTAAAGTGAGAGATGAGCAAGCCTCCTTTTACCTGAACACTTATAGGCCATTGTAGGGTTATTAATTGGCCTAATTTCAATATCGTTTCATCTCAGGGAATAAGGAGGCCTGAGGAGAGGGAGAGAGATGGGAGAATGGCCGGTCAGTGGAGCACTCAGAACACACACATTATCAATTAAATTTACCTTTTTATATGGGCACAGTTCATGATGCCCTCAAAACAGTTACCATAGTAATATCAAAGATCACCAATCACAGATCACCATAACAAATATAATAATAATGAAAAAGTTTAAAATATTGTGAGAATCACCAAAATTTGATACAGAGACTTGAAGTGAGCAAATGCTGTTAGAAAAAAATGGTGCTATTAGACTTGCTCGGCACAGGGTTGCCACAGAGCTTCAATTTGTAAAACACGCAATAAAGTGAAGCACAATAAAGCAAGGTATGCCTATAATTTGTCTTCATGGCTGTATTGGACTTTTAGGCTGTATAATTGTGCTAGCTTCTTTGAGAGTCAAATTCATATTCTGTATTCAGGCTAATCTGTTCACCTACTATAAACATTACTGTCTATGGTAACAGCTAGGATAAAAAAAATTCTTTTTCTATACATCTATGGCAGAGACTCTTGGGACCACCACAATTGTTACTTACTGTCTTTTCGAGCTTGCTGACAAAAAACATGGAAATATAAAACCTGCCTGGTCTGGTATAGATTGCCTTTGAAAACATATTAGCTTGTTTAGACCACTGTTCATTCTATTGTTGTTGTTTTTAAGATGCTGAGTAGTCAGCAAACTCTTCTAATTAATGTATTCTTTGAGCTTAGTAACCTCTCCTTTCATTATGAGCAGCTCCTCTTCTATAAGCCATCACTGGCTCCTTTTTTGTTAAAGGTTAATAATAAGAATAATGAAGCAAATGGTTATTTATGCAGTCATGATTGACAAAGGTTATTAGAACAGGAATCTGCCCAGAAGCAATGATTAGGTTACAAAAATGTTACAGAATACTGAAACCAATCACCATTTCTGACATTTAAGCAATACCATTTTCACCTTAATCATGATAACCTGTTGTAAAAGTATTTATACAGAATAATCTCATTGGACAGTATTTTTTATGCCAACAGCATACATAATTAAGTGTAAAGGGGAGAGTCAGAAATGATTTGAGAGAAAAAAATGGGCCTGGGGAGGGAATTCCACAACGAGCAGTGAGGAGCAGAACTCACTCGGATAGAACTGTCTGTCCCCAGACACCTGATCTACACAGTTGGGTGACCTTTTCCATTTGTTATCTTCATCTTGAGCACTTTGCAAGTTTGAGGAGCTGTGGAAGACAGTACCCTAGGTTAGGTTGCTATGTTCTTCATACTAAACTATAAAAAAATATATGGGCATAAAGTTTCCTAATGATGGTTTTATTAATTAAACACTGACTTTACTAACATTGTGCAAAACTAACAAACAAGACAAAAATCTAATTATATCCCTTTATGTTTAATATAGTTAGAACTTTCTATGTAAATTAGGCAGTAATTATTTTTACCAGAACAGTATCACCACTTCTACCCTGAATTTTTTCATTTTGGTAACAGCTTTATTGAGATGTAATTCACCCTTTTGAAGTATATGATTCAGTGGTGTTGAGTATATACCTAAAGCTGTGCAAAGACAACATCTAATTCCAGAACATGTTCATTACCTCGCCACAAAACCCATAATCATTAGCAGTTTCTCCCTGTTTACCTCCAGCCCCCTCGCAACCACCAATGCACTTGCTGTTTGTATGGCTTTGCCTATCCTGGACATTTCTTTTTCTTTCCTTCAGCTTTTCTCATACAATAGGCACTTAATAAAATTGGAGAAGACAAAGTAAAGTGGCCATGGATGACTGTAACTCTTATTCGTCATCTGGTATACTTAGAACTGAGTATTATTCCCCTGGCTCATTGCAAGAGGTGTTTAAAACAAAAAGAATAACAACAGCTTAATATAAATGAAATCATATTATATGTAGTATTTTGTGTTTGCTTATTTTGTGTGTGTGGGGGAGAGGTGCTTCTTTAGCACAGTATATTCGAGGTTCATTCATATAATAGCATATAACAATACCTTTTTTCTTTTTATGCTGAATATCATTGTACATATATACCACATTTTGCTTATCTGTTTATCACTTGGTAGACATTTAGGTTGTTTTCACATTTTCACTGTTATGAATAATGCTACTCTGAATATGCATGTACAAGGTATTACATATATTTTCAGTTCTCTTGGGTACATACCTAGAAGTAGAATTGCTGGGTCACATGTGATAGCTCTATGTCTTACTTTTTGAGGCACTGCTAAATTATTTTCCAAAGCAGCAGCACCCTTTACATTCTCATCAGCTATGTCGGAGGCTTCTAGTGTCTCCATATTTTAGTCAATGTGTACTATTGTTTGACTTTTTGTTATAGCCATCTTAATAGATGCAAAATGTATCTCATTGTGGTTTTGATTTGCATTTCCCTGATGGCGAATGATGTCAAAAATCTTTTCTTGTGTTGCTTGGCCATTTCTATATTTTTTGGGGGGGGAGGGGGGAGGGATGTCTATTCAAGTCCTTTGCCCATTTTTAATTAGGTTAACAGTTTTGTATTGTTAACTTATGTAAAGTCTTCATATATTCTATATACCAGCCTCTTATCATATATATGGTTTGCAAATATTTTCTCTCATTCTGGAGATATTTACTTTTCAATTTCTTAATAGTGTCTTTTGAAGCACAAAAGTTATTAATTTAGAGTCCAATTTGTTTTTGTATTCTTTCATTTCTGTACTTTTAAGTGACCATTGCTTTATCCAAGATCACAAAGATTTACTTTTCAGAGTTTTATAGTTTTAGCTCTTACATTTAGGTCAGTGATTCATTTTCAGTTAGTTTTGTATGTGGTGCGAGGTAGTGGTTCAGCCTCATTCTTTTGCATGTGTTTATATTTCTTTTTCTTTATTCAGATTTAAAGATCTGAGAGAGAAACTTCCCATCAAATGGGATGCCCATTATTATTCTTTGTGACTTACTATTTCATGATTTTAGGGGTTTGGGGAGGAATACATGTACTGTGTTCCTCTGAAGACTACACTTACTTGCACCCTCACCAAATGTGGTTGCATTTCTGCCTCTATTTTGCTTATTGGAATCTGAAAAGCAGCACTCATGGATACAGTTTGACTCCATTTATTAGGTTTTTTTCCCTTAATTTGCAATCTTACCTCTTCAGCAACAGTATAGAGAATGCCAAGAACTTCTAAGCCTCTATCAGAAATATCTATCAGAACAGCAGGAGAAGCTCACCATGTCTCTCTCTGAACTCGATGCTGCTAGAATGCAGGAACAACAGGTAAGCATCTTTATTCTTTTCTTGTCTTTAATGGATCAGCAAAATGTCAGAAGACTCATTTGCCTTTTACTTTAATTGTCTCATGGTATATAATATTATCTTAAAACATGCAAATACAGCACGTTATTGAGCTGATGTCTTACTTCCCT